GTAAAAATTAACTCATATTTATCGTTTTCTTATTTAACAGAAATTTACCAGACTGTAACAGTTCTAGAGATCCCAATTGCTGAGTTCTTAAAGTCACGCAGAGGTGACTTGAATATTAGTTTCTCTAGCATCATTTTAGGAGTCAACATCTTAATGCCATGTGTTTTCCAGCAGAGCACAGACACAGAACAGGGACAGCTTCAGACTTAAAGATTTACTGGGATATGAAACATACAGTACAATCTCAGAAATATTTTACAAGAAAAAACATGTTATATTATATTTAAATTAGCAATGTTATGATTTTGGTTCTGTTAAAATTTTATCTTTTAGTTTTCATTGTTTTTTATTTCCAGTTTGTGTTATTCAAGTTATTTTTGATTGTATTTGAGTTCTTAGGTATTTCCTGTTTGCCTTTGGTGCCCTCATGTCCCAGTCTCCTTTTCTCTAGCTCCCATCTAGACTCCTCTGTCCGCACGTGCTCCCAAACGGCTAATTATCCTGGTCTATGTTTCTCTCTCCCATACATCCACCTCCTGCTCAGTCACTGTTTGCTGGTTCATCGTCATTTCTTTGCCATTGCAGTGAGTATTCCTGGTTCTTAGTATTTTGTGGATTTATGTTTTTGGATTTTTGCTTATGTTGCCACCTTTTAAATTAAATCTGTTAGAAAACACCTTCAGATTAAGTCACTACATTTGGGTCCTCCGCTCAGTCCTCCACCAAACCTGACAGAACCAGCCGAATCAGCTGTAGAGCCAGACTCGAGAGAAAATTTCAATTTAAGAATCTTACAAGATTCAAAGCACTGTTAGGGTTAGGATTATTCAATGATGATTATAAAATGAATGTGTGCTTATGAAACATTTTTGCAAGGGGATGCTCCACTCCTGTCTCATGATTCAGTCAGGAGACCATCCTGCCTTGTCATTCTGATGGAGAATTCTGTCTTCATGAACTGATAAATTGTTCTGTCAGAACAATACCCGTTTGTAACCATGCGTCATGTTCTGTTAATAAACGCTCTGCAGAGGAGGTCCAGTGGGAGACAGTGTGTTTGAGTTTGGGGTTCAACTGTCTCTCCTTCCTGCAGGAATTGTATCAATAAGTCTGTATTTCAGTTCTTCTTAAGAAAAAACCTATTTATGAACCCGACAAGCACATACAGTAAAAATCTGTGAATCTAAAATTTGATATACAACCTTCAATATTCAGACTTAGCCATAGGTATGTGTGGGAAAAAACATTCAGTTTTTCCTATTTTCTTAATTCAGTTAATTCTTAATTAAAATTGTATAAATGCAGGGATGCCCAATATATCGCTATTGAAATCAGCTGTTACTATTTGTTTTGTAAATATATATCGATTTTTCTAGTATTGTTCCTGGTGATTTAGAATGCTTTATAAATGAGACACCAAAATATCTGTCTATTTACCTGTAATCATATATATTTGTGTATTTTTGCCACTGTTGCGTTCTCACAATAAGAAAGCATTAAATAGACATATGGCTTTCCCATTTGTGTTTGTACTCATTTCTTGCAGAATATCAAAAAACCTAATGGAAGTCGCTGGGTCCTGTGGCTGCAGCACCCACACTTGTAGAGTGTCCCCACCAACTTTAATAACAAAGTCACACCCTTGCTCCACTGACTTGCTTAAAGTCAAGGAACACCCCAGTTGTTCCTTGACCACTGTTGTTTGAGTCATTGTGGACTTAATGGGAGAGGATCAAGGAGGAAACCATTGTTAAAAGCAAACAGGCATAAAGAGGCGAGCCTGGAATTTGCCAAATTTTGTTTTGACCAGCCATAAACCTTCTGGGAGAATTTCACAAAAAGGAAAGTTTCAATGGCGCCTCTCAGATAAAAAGGTTGTACAATTAACTACTCAGTTAAGGATACCGTCATTTTTGTCCAGGCTAGTTTAATGAGTTTATTATATAATTCATTCTGTTAAAGCCTGCTTAAAAATCAATTTTACTTCATGTGCACAATTTTTGATATTTCTAATTTATTTATTACTACTTTTGTCATATTCTGGTTATTTCTGTTATGGGGTTTTCTTTCATTTAAAAAATGCTTATAATAATTTTGTCAACGTGTGTACAGAAATTGTGAATACTTTGTCTGTCAAACCACTTGATTATGCATACAATCAGGTTAAAAGAAAGCTGATTCTTGGTGTGAAATGACATTCTGTTAGTGGGGCTGTTTAATTTGTCACAGTTTTTGCTGGAAATTGGTCTACACCCTTCTGCTTATGAAAGGCAAATGATCTTATCCTTTGCTTTAAATGTTAAGGTTCAAAACAAGGGAACATTCAAATACATCTATGAGCCAGTGACATCCAAAAAAAATGTTTTGTATATACTTTGTTAAACAGATGTGTTGTCAATCGCAACCCTTCTGTATATCTTAAGTAATTTACCTCTAAGTAATATTCCTCTTTAAGTAATTTTCCTCTGGGATTATTAAAGTATTTCTGATTCTGATATCTCACAATATGTGTGTCTACTTTTTTAAACAAACAGCGAACCAGTGAAACAATGGTTGATGTACCTAAATGATGACCTTAGATGAAAAAGATACTTCCTTGAGACATTTTGACCTTTTCACCTAATTCAATAAACTTTATTTATGCCAAATAAATAAATACTGGATAAACCATTGTTGTCCCATAAACCCTGATAATAATTTTGGACATTGAGAACTAATGTCCATGTTTCACATATCATGATCACTGTAGAAGAGATTGCAGTTTAGCTTATAAAACAGTGGTGAGACCTTTCTTCTCTCCACGGGACCCCTCCCACAGAGGTGTGCCTTGGCCCCCCCACTGAGCTGAAAACAGTAAAAAACACAGCACAGAGGATTTCTCTCTGTCCGTAGAGCTGCCTGGGGGTTCACATTGGAAGAGGACACCACCATGGCGCCAGGCCCAAAGGCCCAGGTGTCCAGAACGACCAAGGATAAGTCATGATGGTTGAAATTTCAGAACCGAACTGCTGCAAAGCAGACTTTTTGTAACACATTTCTCTGAGTTTCAGAACTTACAGAGCCGGACTGGAGGGGAAAATAACCTGAAGAAGCCTTTCACTTGGTGTGGGCCACATGGTTCAAAGAAAGAATTGCCTTGCTAAGCTGCTGCTGGATGAAAACTCAAAACTTCCAAAATGCACAAGAACAGAGGTATAAGGTCTGGCAGGGTTATGAACAGATTCTATTTAAACAATATGTATTTTGATGATATTGATCATTTCATGTGTTTACTGATAGTAAAGACAAAGCTAACAGGATGGATTGCATGGTGCACTATGCTACAATAATATGTTTTGAGCTGTTGTTGAAGCTTGAACTAGCTTTATTTCAGTAAGGGGTTTAAACAATGATATAACATTAGTGTTCATGTGTTTCCTCATATGCTCATTACATTTGGATTACCGAATTATGACCAAAAGTCATTTAATGGAATCCTCATGTCTATTCGCTGCTAGCCATTTCAAAGAGGGTAAAGAAGCCTTTATTTAAAGGTTACTAGTTCCCCATTAAGCAAATTATTTAATAAAACATTATTTGGTCAAATAATGTTTTATTCGCCTCATGGATTGCATTGTGAATTGATTTGAAAACATTCCAATTGCTCTAAATGACTGAAAAGTTAATTGGATCACATCCCAATTTCTTTAAGATTAAATTTGGTTCTCAAACACAACTCCATCCTTAACAGTGATATGTTTTTCAATCACGTTTCCTCTTCAAACATTGTAGTTTTGTTTAGTTTAGTTGAGGTTTATTAGTTTCAGTGCTATGGTGTCCCAGCTGGCTGGGAATTGTATACAACAGTTATTTACAACACCATTAACAATAATTTAATCAAATAATTAATCAGAAACTGAATCAAAAGAAGCTTTTATTTATTATGAATAATAAAAAAATTATTATTATTCATAATAAATAAAAGCTCAGAACCTAAGGATTCCTAGCTCTATGCCCTAAACACTAGGCCGTCACTCCCAAACCAGTGTATGTGTATGCATTTGGGCAATTTGACTGACAAAATCTAAATTACAGATTTACTGCAGATTTATCAAGCAAAATAATATTCAACAGACAAGATAGATCTGATGTTAAAATAGATTATAAAAAAACAAAAAACAAAAGTGAGATCGGAAGCAATGTCTACAACAGAAGAGTGAAGGGAAATCTAGTTAAATAAAAAACAAGTTTTATAAAAAAAATGAATGGTTGATCCAAAGGCACATCACCTGTTACTTTGTGTTACTACTAACTTAAATAAAGATTCAGTTTTCAAACCATCTATTTATGTGAACAGTACATAAATCTTAAATATCTGTTAAAAATATAAATAAATGCATTAATTAATTCGGCAAAGAATCTATTGTTTTTATTTAAATTAGACGCAGGCACTATTTTCCATCACCAATAATATTCAACATATTCTTATTATGAGTGCGTATGAAATCGTACGAAAAGTTATGCACACTATTTCGTACGTTTTGGACGTTTTTCCTCAAAAAACCACATCAGTGCGCATGCGCTGGCAGATCCACGGACGGACGTAAAAATGGGAAAAACAGTGCAATCATCACTTATTCAGGTCTCTAACTACATTGCTTGCTGTTTTATATCTTAGGGTTAGGGTCAGGGTTAGGGCTAATTGTAATTTATATTCTATATTCACGAATGGTGCCTCAGATGTGCATGCACATACGACGAAAAAAACGTCCAAAACGTACGAAATTACGGTGCATAACTTTTCGTACAATTTCATACGCACTCATAATGAGAATAGGTTTTAATATTAGATGAGCAACTTTCCTTGAATGCCAAATCCAAACCACCGAACAGCTAGAGAATACCTACGCCATGTTTTCTTGCCATGACACCCTTCCTGCTGGTGAGACGAAGTGTTGGCAAAGTGCCCCCTCATTTGCCCATGCTCATTGAACCAGCTGTTAGTTTTTTATCCTCTGAATCTACATAGCCAGGTAGGCCTCAGACTTATGTTGTCCGAGGAAGTTGTGTAGACAGAGACATTTGAAGACAATGGTGATAACCTTGTCTGGATCCAGGCGAATCTGAAAACCAGAACCGATTCACCAGAATTCCAAAAGCATTCTCCACAACACGGCATGCTCTGGGTAGTTGAAGACGGTAGTTGAAGATGCGCTGATCGGTGTTTAGGTTCCGAAAGGGATATGGTTTCATAAGATCTGGTCGGTGGGGATATGCTTCATCAACAATTAGCATGTAGGGCATCGGATTATTAGTGCCTGGCAAGGTGTCATCAGGGGGGACAGTCAGTGTGCCTGTGTCCATAGCATCTCTAAGATCAAAGTGAGTGAGCACTCCGGCATCAGACGCTCTTCCTTGCCCTAATATACACAAACCGGTGGTTTGCGTCAACAACTGCCATAAGTAAGATGGCAAAACTTGACTTGTAGTTGTAAAACATGCTTCCGCTTTTGCCAGGGGGTCGAATAAATACATATTTCCCATCTATTGCTCCTAAGCAGTGTGAAACTGCCATTTCTCTTCAAAGTCTCTGGCAATCACCTTCCATTCAGATTCAGTTGATGTTGTCTGTGAAACATAAAATTTGATGTATGAAATAAATATTTTGTGAAGACATGTTTTCCATGTCATAAACACTTTTTCATAACCCATTTCGCAAGGACTAAAAAAATGCAACTAAGACTTTAGATTAACTTGTAGAATATATTTAACAAATGTTCAGTAAACCATGAAACATTTTAAAAATAACGAAAACATAATTTTCATTACAATTTACCTTTAAGTAAACATTACGCAGCACAGCATTAAGGGCTTTGCAGGTCTCCATCGCTATCCTACCCAGTGTTGTGCTTCCAACCTGGTATTGAAAAATTAATGACCTGATGGTCTCACCTGCCAAAACAAAGAAAGTGCTTTAAACATTGGGGTGTATTTATATCAGTTGTAACCAACCTCATTGGTGTAGTGTCATATGAAAGGCTACAACCAGATAAGACCTCTGAACTAGAAAATTCTGCATTCACCTCTACTTTGTTTTATATAAACACATTTTAAAAGCTTTGTAGAAATAAAAAGTTGTAGATGCAGCTTAAGGATGAATAGGTCTATTTTAGATCAGGCTCATGGCAGCACAACGACCTTGGGGCTACTTGGTACCTGCGGGCAACATGTTAGTAACCCCAGATTTAGATGCTTTATGTAAAGGAGAATGGGCATGGATGGTGCTTGACAGATTAACATCTACTTATTTATGTGCTGTTGAATAGAATATAGTGGTCCTATGAAGGACAGATATCCACTTACAGGGTAATTGTAGCTGTACAATTACGGACAGGGTTACCCAGAATGCGGTTGCTTGTAGATGAACGGAGAAGACTGACTGCCACTCAGATTTCCTGCGGTACTTGAACGGACTGTGGTGCTGATGAATCCCTTGCTCAGCGTGAAACTCAAACGATTCCTCAGGGGAAAGTGGATCCAAACCTCCGGTTTGTATCCCCAGCTCAGTTTTAAGCTCAGTAGATCCTTCCAGGGAGAGAAGGTACGAAAATCCAGTTTGCAGGATGACTTCCTGCCGAGAGGCAAAAACAAAAAAACAACGTAAAGACTCAGGTTGACAAAAACTTAGTTTGACTCAGCAAAACTCAGCTTGGCTAACCAAAACTGGCAAAAACTCTGGCGTCGAGGTAGTAGCAGTCAGCAGCTTAAGAGCACTCTGTTAATGAGATAACCCCTTGCAGGTAGGCGAGGAGGAGAATCAGAACCAGGCGCCCCCTGGTGGAGGAAGGAAGACATACATACAAAAAACACAGACCACACAGACTGGAGCCCTAACATTTTGTCTTTAAAATTAGTGTTTTATTATGACAGCTTTTAGGTCATGTGACACAAATCTAATATAAAATCATTATACTAGGACAAAAGATGCAGACTTGCATTAACTAACTTTAGTTAACTTTTATAATAGAGAAAAAAATGGTTTATTTTAATATATATTTTTTTTTATTGAGTTTAATTTATTGTCAGTTCCTAATCAAAACCCATGAAAAATTTGTTTTTGCAGCATATTTTTTGGTTCATGTTTGTGTATTTACTGTGAATTTGTAGGTCTTATCCACCATAGTTATCAACTGTTTGAAAACTAAATAGTTAAAAAAGCACAAACTCAGGAGATGTTTGCTTATCCTCCAACCTTTGGAGATAAGTCACATCACATTGCCCAACTACAATATTACTGATTATTGAGAACATTCTGCATTCCTCTTTGACCAAAGTGTTTCACTAAAATAAGTTTTTTTGTGATCTATAATGTTTTTGTGATCTATAATGTGAACAATGTGATCTATAATGGCTACTGCATTGTTTCAACATCCTCTTCAAGTGTGGGAATCCTAAACAACATACTTCAAAGGTAATACCAAAGCACTTTTTGGTTTAATGTAAAATTCCCATTCTAGTCAGTCATTCACACATCGAATAGCTTCTTTTCCTCCACAATTAACTTGTATAAATGTTTAAGTAATATCTGCTCTTTAAAACTGATATTTTGATTTAATCACTGTATATTATGTTAAATCTTATGACAATTGATTCCTATACCTTATACCATGAAAAGTAAAGACTATAACATATACAAAGGATAAAATGTTTAATTTGGTACAGTTAATTTGGAATTTTAATGCTGGAATTTTAATGCTGACTTATAAAATTTGTAAAATCAATTTAATTTAATTGAATTCAGTTTATTTATATAGTGCCAATTCACAACAAATGTCATCTCAAGGTATTTTACAGTTCAACCAGATCATACAGTCAAATTGATTCAAAGTTTTCTATCTAAGGAAAACCAGTTGATTGCATCAACTCATTCACTCAAATGCAATCCCTCACACTAAGCATGCTTATAGCGACAGTGGAGAGGAAAAACTCCCTTTGAACAGGAGGAAACTTCCAGCACAACCAAGCTCAGTGTGAGCGGCCATCTGCTGAGGCCAACTGGGGTTCAAGGAGACAGAAGCAGAGATACAAAAAGCAGCTGTAAAAGGCGGCCCCGTCTAGGAAACACACAGCCAGGCAGACAAGCTCCGAGCCAGCTCCCATGTCAGAGGATGAAGAGAGCTCATCCAGCCAGTCACGGTCAGAAAAACAGGACTACACTGGAAAACAGGCCGATCTCCGGCATCTATACACAAGAGTGTTGTTGGAAGCAGCACAGCTGATATTTCTCTCCAGGATGGAGTCACAGCCAAACAGGAACAGACTAGGCAAAGGTACTATGAGAAAAAGCAGAGAGAGCAGAAGGTTAGAGATTGAACTAGCAGATTCAGCAGAGTGAGAGAATACAGATAGAGTGAAGAAGAATGATGAAATGGGGGTCCCTATATCCTCCAGAAGTTTAAGCCTATAGCAACATAACTTCAGAGATCGCTAAGGATAACCTGAGCCACTCTAATTATAAGCTTTATCAAAAAGGAAAGTTTTAAGCCTGGCCTTAAAAGTAGACAGGGTGTCTGCTTCACGGACTAAAACTGGTAGTTGGTTCCACAGGAGAGGAGCCTGATAACTAAAAGATCTGCCTCCCATTCTATTTTTAGAAATTCTAGGAACCACTAGTAAACCTGCTACGTGCTTTGTTAGGAGCATAAGGAACAATCAGAGAAGGAGGATTTTAAATTCTATTCTGCATTTTTTTTTCTCCAGTGTCCTGTCTGGAAATGTGGCAATAAGAATAATTGTCTTGATGCCAAAAAGAGCCCAACAGATTTTACTATCACAAGTGTAGCAGTATGGCAATTACCATATGGCTACACTTGTTTCATGCATATAAATTGCTTTATTATAATTATGCAGGGAATTTTACACTTTATATGGACATTGCAATGTAAATAGAACAGAACAAGAAAAACAGAAGAAGAAAAAGGGAGAAAAAAGAGAAAAGATGAAAGAAATAGGAGATAGAAAGGAGACAATGACAAAACATTTTCAGTCTGCTTCATAACCTGCAACAAGATGCAAAAAAAAACGTCACAACCGAAAGACATGGTACGAGACATACAATAAAGCAACACCTTGAAACTATCACTGAAGTACTATTATTTAGTCTGACATGTACTCTGTGTTACCTGAAGATAAGAGTGTGGGCTTTCTGTATGGAAGTGAATCTCTGAGTACCTGGAACTAAGCACCTGTAGTTGTTTGTTAGAGTGCACTTGTGCATGTAAAGTTTATCCATAGAGAAAATGCTCAATAGTGGTTGTGGAGAGCCGAAGAGGCCCCCCCCAGAGCACTGAGTCCAGCGCCGGGAGACCCAAAGCCCCAGGCGCCCAAAGGGATCCCAAGAGCGAGGGCATCAAGGAGGGTCCAGCCCAGGAAATCCGACCTCCACCAAGGGAGGAGGAGAGACAGCCCCGAGGAAGTCCCACAGTCACCGCAATGTCGGCGCCGCGGGGACGAGTCCGCAGGCTCCGCCGGCAGCCGGCCACCCTGAAGTAAATCCGGCCCTGGGCCCCAGGGATCTGAGGCCCCAGGGGCGCCCGACCCCCAGGCAGGAGCCCCAGCAAGGCCCCGGCCTGCCGGGCCACGCAAAGAGGCTGCCAGGAATGAGCCCAGAGAGATCGGTCGGATGGGGATGCAGATGCTGTCTCAAGATTAATATGATCCAACAACAGATCTATATACTGATTGAGTTTATCCTTACTTTTCCAATTCATGAGGATAGCTTTCTTTGCGATACATAATGCAGTAGGTTGTGATATTCATAGGGAAAATTGGAAAGGTCAGACACTGAAACGGGCTGTGGAGAACAGTGAGGCTGGGAGGAAAATGCTGACTGTAAACATTGGTAAAGACAGGATGAGCTCCAGGATTCAATCTGTGAGCTGGACCAGTTAATGTGGGGATCGTGTTTCCAGAGGCACTGGATTATGGGCCCTCCTGAGGCCCAAGGAGGGCAGACAGACCACCAGAGAAGGACTGACAAGAGCTCCCAGATCCCAACACTTGAAGGGCCCGGGGGGCCAAACTATAGTGCCAGGGTCCCAGGGGGCCACGGCAGTGAGCCCATGGGCTCTGCTGGCAGTCAACGGTTCCCTGGTCTAATGTCAGGCGAGCAAGTATGATGAAAGGGGGGCACCCCTTTCAGGTCTGAATTCCACATGGAGAGAGAGCATTCCACTCAGATCAGGGAATACTCTAACCTGACAACAGCCAGATGCATGTCTCGCTCCGCCCAGCTCCACTCACATACATCTGGGAACCCGCTCATTGAAAGTGATTTCCCCAACCGAATTTATGGTCTGTCCAATCAGGACGCAGGGCGGGTGTGTCCTGGAGTGGAGAAGCGACCGTGAGATTCCACAACAATGGCGGCTCGCATTGAGGAAGCAAGCGTTAGCATTGATGCTGCTATTTCTTCTGTGTTGTCCAATCTATCTGATATTGTTTCATTAAAAGAACATCAGAGAACGGCTTTGAAGGCTTTTGTTGGTGGATACAATGTTTTCGCCCTTCTCCCGACCGAATTTGGCAAGAGCTTGATCTACGAAATGGCTCCTCCTCTCACAGCGTCATGGGTTAGCTTCGGTGTGAGTGGTTGAAATAGCACGTCAATAAAGATGACAGACAAGTGGCTTATCCAATCATATGCAAGGAGTTTTGATAAGGCCCAGCCTTCAGTAAAGGCAATTCCTATGGCGGGTTCCCAGATGTATGTGAGCGGAGCTAGGCGGAGCGAGACATGCATCTGGCTGTTGTCAGGTTAGGAATACTCATGAAAGGGCAGGAAGAAAAAAAACAAATGTTAGTGGAACGAAGAGTTTTCCGATGTTTTAAATGAATGCAAACCATTTTTAGGAAAGAAATGTCATCTTGTTGCCCCCTTTACTTCCTATCCCATCTAGAGCAAACACACTTTTGATTTTTTATCCATTAATTTTTACGACTTTTAATTTTACTTCATTATTTATGCCCTACTTACTTTATTAATTTGCAGTTATTAGTTATGCGTTATTTATTTCCTATAAAGGTTTTGGAGTCTTTAAAAGCACTCCAAAAATAAAAATACAATAATAACATTATTATCATTACATGATTTAATTATCATTATTATTATTATTAGATTAATGTAAGGCATTGGCGTAACGACACAACTATAGGCCCATAAGCAACATTATCTTGGTGTGACGTCTTGCATGCTGCACGCATCTTACGTACGTAATATGTTCAGTCAGTTCATCATAACCCATACCTCATAATTCCAAGTCGTAGTGCAAAAAATAAAATACTCAAATACATTGTTCTTTTAAGATCTTTATTGTGGTTTGAAACATTATATGAGTATAGTTAAAGTGTATTTTTAAACCAACCGTCCAATGAACTATACACAGTTACTAACATAGTAATTACAAATACCACTGCTTTGCTACTGGTGTCATTTTTAAACGGCTCACCATCATGTTGAAATCTGGCATGTGTTTCGGTATAAATACGGTCTGATGCGGTCAGTCACTTCAGTATCAGGTGTGAATTTTCCGCACCATTTCATAAGCAAAGAAACGTCCTATTCTACAGTTGCATAGGGCGCCCCACAGGTGTCAGTGATGGGGGGCCCGAAGAGGTCGTAAGCATCTGCTGTCTTTGCTTACCGACAGTTACATCATTGAAGTAAGGTTAAAACACTGCCTTTAAACTTAGGCTAATTTTAACCTGTTTTTCTCTGGATCTATGGAGATTTTTTGGAACCTTGTCTCTAGTTCTATTATGTTGGAACTGCAAATTTTATCCATCATCCACAAGTAATTTGCCCATAATCAATATGCACAACGTGTCAACATGGATAAATGGTAAAATCAAGTATCCTCTGGCGATACCTACAGCCATGCCCCTAGTCCTTTATCCTTATTTATCATAGGGGAGTCCTCTCACTTCCCTGTGGAGGTTTTCATGTTCTTAAGTGGAAAACCCAAATCCACCTTTGTCCCCAAGTACAAACTGTTACCTCTATATTAATTTTAAAATCTAAAAATATTTGAGGCAAGCTGGTTGAACATTTCTCACCGTTTCAAAAAAAATAAATTAATTAAGTTTGGAATGTCCTGCCGACCTCTCGGAAAAGTCAGAATTCCTCCATCCCTTATAGCTGTATTGGGGTTGAGGCCAGCACATTCCCACACTCCCATTGAAATCAGTGAATTTATCCTTTTAAAACATGCTAACAAGATTAATTCATTGTATGTGCTGGGCAGAGATGGCAAAAGAACTCACTTTCTGTACTTGAGTAAAAGTACAGATACTTGTGTTAAAAAATACTCTGGTAAAAGTGGAAGTAATGATTAAACTTCTTTACTCAAGTAAAAGTAACAAAGTACTTGTAAATTTACTTAGAGTATAAAAGTAAAAGTAGAAACCACTTTTTTCATGCCGTTGCCTACATTTTAAATGGATGTCTGCCAATAGGACTAGATCTCCGTTGTGTTCATTTCAATCATCTCGTCGTCCATACTACTATGCTAATGCCACCGCCACCAAGCTGCAATGATTTGCCGCAAATGAATACCGCCAATCTGTCAATTCATCTTGTAGTGGTGCGTCAAATGCAACGTAGATTCCCATCCAATTAGATTGAATTTGGTATTGATGATGTGAAAAATAATAACGGTAACTCCATTGAAATGATTCAAAACTAAAGTAACGAGCCAATTTTTTAAAATGTAAGGAGTAGAAGTAAAAAGTCGCCATAAAAATAAGTAGTAAAGTAAAGTAAAAATATCAGAAAAATCTACTTGAGTACAGTAACAAAGTATTTGTACTTCGTTACTTCCCATCTCTGGTGCTGGGTGTATTTTCATGTGTATGTAGTTATATGTTTGCATGTATGTCTATGTGAACATTTATATGTGCATAAATTGGAATAACATGCTTAATCCTAAACTGGGATTCAAACCGCCAACCCCTCTGCATCTTATGCTACAATTCCAAAGACCACTACTTTTGTTTTCAGACTAAGCAACTGATGCATTGACTGTACTTTTAACATACATCACCAATACTGGGAATTTTAACTTTTTTTTTTTTTTTTAGTGTAGCATTAATGGGTGATTTAAGGAGTCATTGCCTGAAAATTTGTCTTTCTCATGTTAAAACATGTGTTTTAACACCCTGGAAGGGTGCTAATATTCCATTAAGCTATTGCCACTCCTGTGTGGTTCCACCAGTCAGGGATTCACCTACAGGTGGTCTGTAAATATTTCTGCTTGTTTAACTTTTTTTCCAATTATGTATGAAACCGGAAAAGGATAGTGAATAAACTATCAAAAGTGTCAATGCCATTAAATCTAAATCCAGATGAATGTTCTTATATTCAAGATAAATTCTTGAGCGTACTGTTATGAGAAAAAAAGCTGTATGGAAAAGGAAACTAAATGCAAAAGGCAGAAGCAAAAGCATGAATTTAAAGTCAATGTCTGATTGCATAATTAAAACACACGGTTATTTCCTTCAGACAACAAACACACACACAAACTAAAATCAAAATAAATACTTTCTGACTGAAGGTTTTTTTGTTTTATTTGCCAAACATAAAAAAACAGCTTTCAGTGTGGAATAAACAGCTTTAAATTAACTTTCAGGATGTCTTCTATCTGCAAAGTCGACCCTCGAGAACCACTGTCCTACAGGTTTTAGAGGTTTCCCTGCTTCAACAGAACTTTTTCCATTTCGACCTGATTAACAGGCTTTTGCTGAACTTCAATCATCAGAATCAGCTGTACTGAAGCAGGTAAACTTCTAAAACCGGCAGGAAAGTGGCCCTCGAGGGCCGATTTTGGGCCCTGCCATAGATCTTTAAGGAGGAGTGTCTTATTGATATTTTACAGCTTCATGGACTCCGTATGTGTGATTAAGGCATATGACTGCTTGTAGTCGACCCAGGCAGTCCAGCATTTGTTAGTATGGTACATCAATCATGGTTAACTGCTATGCACACCAGAAGGAGAAATTTTACTCCTTTGCTAGAACTCCCAACCTCCTTCTAGTCTCCTTCTAGTGTATATTTACTTTTGCTGCCACAATGCCTTTCATGTAGTGCAGAGGCCAAGGGCGTAGGTTTGATTTGAACTTTGGTAGGGACACAATTGGTCAGGTGTCATTGGTGCTATGCAATATGCATGCCTTTTTTTATGCTCGATGTGAGCATCCGTACTGATAAGAGCAATTCATTGTTAAAAGAGAAAAGCATAATTTTGCTACATTAATAAAAATGTTATAAGCACTACACTCATTAGATGCTGTTTATCAATGTTTGAAGTATCACAGGCTCTGATGAATGTGGAATTAGGACTGTTTTCCACTTTGAAAATGGTTTCATTTGAACGACTAAGAGAGAAGGTAAATACAGTATTTTCTTTTGAAGATATACAATTATGCAGAGGTAAACCCACTCTTATATTTTTACCTACTATGCTCTCTTTATATCAAGCAAAATAATACATTCATTAAAATATTAACTTACACTATAAAAGTTGAACATCTGGGCTGTAGTTACTCGGTGTCGCCCAATTCATGTATTTTATCTGGGGCTGAAAAAAATAATTATATTAATTGATTATTTCAATAATTGTCAACTAATTTAGTGATTCATCATTAACTGAAGAATGACTATAAAACATAATCTAAATGTAAAATGTGCCTTTCCCCGACAGAGCAACCCACTTAAATCAGTAATTATACCAAAATTGTAAAAATACTATATATATATATATATATATATATATATATATATATATATATATATATATATATATATATATATATATATATATATATATATATATATATATATATATATATATAGATAGATAGATAGATATAGATATAGATATATATATATAGATATATATACCGGTATAACTAATATTTAAAAAAAATGTTTTTGTCTGTCAATATTCTCCATCCAGAACTCCTCATGTGGAAATATTTTAGTTTCACCTGGTTTATTTAGACATCACCTGAAGCACTGAAGGGCAGCTGCTTCACCTACAAGCTGCCCTGCATCATTATTACTGGATATCTGTGTTTCCTATAATCATATAATGTATAAGTGCATTTTTAATAGTAAAGGATTAAATGTAACACAACCTTTTATCACCATCCTATATTGCTTACTGTCTGACTGTTTAAATAGCTCCTTATGTAAATTTTCTTTTTCAGTGGCATCATCTACAAACACAACACTAAGAATGAGCCTAAGTGTATTCAAATATAAAATCACTATTAACAATTATAAAAGACAATGTAACACTATCTTATCTGTAATTTAATAATATCAAAAATAAACAGCCATATTCAAGCATTTTTACCAGCCATTAATGTTTGTACTAATTTACTTATAGACTGCGTGAAAATCTATGTAAGATAAAATGAATGTTGATATTCTTCATCTGTTTGTTCTTGTCTTTATCCTATTTCTAGAAGTAGAAATAGTCAATTAAATTACTATTATTATGTGGAACCCTAATTATGCTTTTTAAACGATAAACAGCAGATGTTTAGCCACCATTTCTTGTTGTTATACTCTATAAGAGAAATAACACCTGCTAATAATTATACCTGAACTTCCTCAAAGAGTCATCAAAAAATGAAAACAGTAACAGCAACTAAATATCGGTAAAAAGGAAACCCTCACATTTTCTTTTTTAGTTGGCTGTGGCTAAGAATCAGAAATGTTGATGGCTTACAGCCTTTATTTGCCCAATTTTCCAGCAGTCTTCAGAACTCCTGGCTGACTCAGAATATTTTGTTTTATAAAAGAAAAAAAAAAAGGTTTTTGTTTTTTAGTGTACATGATATTAATTTTTTTTTATTGGGACTTGTAGCCTAATAATAACCGCAGCATTCTAATGTGAATACATTTCCAATGTTGTGCTCCAAGCACACGCGGACTAGAAAACAGCCAATCAGAGGGAGAGACGGCGGAACTTAAGGCAGAACAACCAATGAGAGTTGAGTTAAACAGCGCAGCACAGTTCCATGCGCTGCTACATGAAAGGGACAGGAGAGAGCAGGCAGAGGAGCTGCGAGAGGAAAAGAAGCTACTGCTGCAACAACTGCTGTAAATTATAAACATGTTGCTCACATCCAATTATTGGTAGGGACAATTAGGTCGGTTCCAAATGTTGGTAGGGACATGTCCCTATGGTCCCTATGCAAACCTACGCCCATTGCAGAGGCTGTTGTTGTTTGGTTGAAGGGGTATGACTGCCAATAATTGGCCACTAGCAGATTTGTTGTTTCTATATGAATGTAATTCACCACCTCAAGAACAAGCAGTCCACCTCTAAAAAAGGATGGCATCAGCAGTACTTTCAAATGGAATGTCCTAATTTCACTATTTAGATGGTTAACCTTTTTCACCTCAAGTCTAGCGATAACTTAATAATAACTTTATGTCTGTCTGATTTTTGAGCCTTGTGCCATGTCTTAGACATAGATTATGGGGTAAAACTCTTTTCAAACAGCAATGATGAAAGTTAGTTAGCAGTTACACTGAAAAAAATAATGCAACCATTTTTGGCATTTACATATTTACTTTTCATATTTAATTTTCACATTTATATACTTTAACAAAATTGTAGCAGAGTAGGACATAAAGCAATTGTGTTAAAGTAACTAAATATGATTAAGTAAATACCAAAAGCGGTTGCATTATTTTGTCAGTGTAGACATTTGCACCGATTACTGAGATTACACGATTACTGTTAGCAAGTTGTTATACCCTTGTTGTGACAAGAAAAAACAGGAATACTACAAACGTCCTGCCTTAGCTGAACCCACTAACATATTTTCCTGTATATTTTGTCATATGCTAAAAGGTAGATTTTTCAAACTCTGTTTGAATAAGTGAATCCTGGTCATTTGGGAGCTGCCAGTGTGCTTACAAAGTTTCCAAATAGATTAGATTTATATGTAAATGTTTATAGGTAGTAATCTAAAACTCACAAATTTTTAATAAAAAAAAAAACAGATGACAGTTAAAAGTCTTTGTCAAAAAGCGACTGAAAATATAACAGTTTCTAAAATATAGGGACATTTCATAACTCAAGGCTTTAAAGATAAATACAATTTTGAAGTTTAAGTATTTTAAGATTTCTTGTAACAGAAAAAGTTTCTTCTCTCACTGCAGACTTTGATCCTAAAGGATGTCTGGGTCCGCTTCAGAACAGCACACTGGGATGCCGGGCATTTTGTAAGGTCCTGGTTTAGTACAAGTTCTCCACCCACCCAGAACCACTCATCACCTAGGTAACGTAGACCTGTCCATATCTACCAAGATTAAGCAGAGAGTTTCACATAGACACAGTATGATCTGGTCAGCCACAGAAGAGCATCTCAGAAAAACAGCCTACCTCATCAGTGGTAGCAGTTTGGGCGAGCTCTTGAGCAGAGTTGTGGTCATCTACAGTGAGCAGGGTGGCCAACTGAAAGCTGCTTCCATCAAGAGCTCTGCAGTACTCTAAAGCCTCCTCCCATGTCTTATTCTCCTTCACCAGAACCAGAATCTCATCGTGACATATGACCTTAAATCTTTTGTCACATTCCCAATCTCTCCATTGGCCTTCTGATAGGAATTTAGAGACACGGTTTTGGTCATTGTAATCTGGTTCTGTAATAAATAGGGAAAAAGATTGAATCATAATAATATACAGGAACAGGACCTATGAAAACATATTGTCAGTTCTGTAGATATTTACATATGCACAAACTTTTCTTAAAAAGTCTCTGAATAAAAACATATTATATTCTGCAGATGATAATCCTATGATAATCTGACTGACAATTTTTCCTAACAATGTCATTATATGTAACTGTTATTCTGCTAGTTTGAAATGATTCTGTTTTCTGAAAAGTAAGAAAAGAAAGGAATCAGAAAAAATGGACAGAAAATATTGGGGGAAAAAACAGAATAAACAAATCCTGCATTGACTGAATTTAAAAATTTCCCCTGTTCGGGCTAATTGTTTGGTGGAATGTTTAAATTCATGCCAACTGATCACTAGCAGCAGACAATGTGGGTGTCTTACATTTTGTTCACCATCCAAGTTCCCATTGTTTTATTATACATTTGTATACAGAGGTGTTTCTAGAGACTGTTGGGCTATAAGCAAGGCTCTATAGTCATGGCCAAAAGTATTGAGAATCACACAAATATTATATTTTCAAATGATCTGCTGCCCTCTGGTTTTCATGTGTGTATTTCAGATGTTGTCATCAAATACAGAAATTCAATTGCAATCATATTATGAGTAACAAAACCTTTTAATGCAGCAAGTCCATATTTGCAGTGTTGACCTCTCTACTTCAGGACCTCTGCAATTCTCCCTGGCATGCTCTCAATCAACTCCTGGACCAAATCCTGACTGATAGCAGTCCATTCTTGCACTATCAATGGTTACATTTTGTCAGAATTCCTAGGTTTTTGTTTGTCCACACGTCTCTTGATGATTGACAACAAGTTTTCAATGGGATTAAGATTAGGGGAGTTTCCATGCCATGGACCCAAAATCTCTATGTTTTGTTCCCTGAGCCAGTTAGATATCACCTTTGCTTTATGGCAAGGCGCTCCATTATGCTGGAAAAGGCATTGTTCATCACCAAACTGCTCTTGGACGGTTGGGAGAAGTTGCTCTCGGAGGACATTCGGGTACCATTCTTTATTCATGGCTGTGTTTTTAGGTAAGACTGTGAGAGAGCCGACTCCTTTGGCAGAGAAGCAACTCCACACATGAATGGTTTCAGGATGCTTTACAGTTGGCATGAGACAAGACTGTTGGTAGCGCTCACCTCGTCTACTCCGAACAAGCTGTTTTCCAGAGGTCTCAAACAATCGGAAAGGGGATTGATCAGAGAAAATGACTTTACCCCAGTCCTCAGCAGTCCAGTCCCTGTACCTTTTGCAGAATATCAGTCTGTCCCTGATATTTTTCCTGGAGAGAAGTGGCTTCTTTGCTGCCCTCCTTGAGACCAGGCCTTGCTCCAAGAGTCTCCGCCTCACAGTGCGTGCAGATGCACTCACACCTGCCTGCTACCATTCCTGAGTAAGCTCTCCTTGAAGTCCTTGATGATGCGAAAGATTGTTGACTGAGGTGCAATCTTTCTAGCTGTGATTCTTTTTCCTGTTAGGCCACTTTTGTGCAGTGCAATGATGACTGCACGTGTTTCTTTAGAGATAACCATGGTTCACAGAGGACAAACAAAGATGCCAAGCACCAGCCTCTTTTTAAAGTGTCCAGTGGTGTCATATTTACTTAATCATGACAGACTGATCTCCAGTCCTGTCCTCATCAACATCTGTGTTGATGGAGCAATCACTAAAGCGATGTTAGCTGGTCCTTTTAAGGCAGGGCTGCAATGATGTTGAAATGCTAATTTTGTGAGATAGGAATTTTGGGTTTTTATGAGCTGTATGCCAAAATCATCCGTATTAGGACAATAAAATACCTGAAATATTTCAGCTAGTGCTAATATTTTAAGAAGGACCTGTATCTGCAGTGTGGGGACTATGAATCTGATAGAATTTTTATTTTTTTATTGCTATTTTGTATAATTTGCTTAATGAAGTATTTTTTGTTTTGAATATAATTTTTCTGATATATTTTTTACACATTTGTTTAAATGTACTTATATCTTTCTAACCCTTTTATATTAGATTTGCGATTATTTATTCATGCTACAGGTGGTTGTCACCTTTGTTCCACTATGTATTCTCATAAGTGTAGTATTTGTTCACTTTACAATGAAAAAAATAAATAAATAAATAAAAACAGTAGGGAAAAGTTCGGTGTGTCAAACATAATTGTCGCTAGGCGACAGAGCGTTGGACCTTTGAAACCACTGCCAAAACTCTTTCGGCCTCCTTATTTCACGGACCTCGAAGGATCCAGTCCAGATAGAACCGGGTACTTGGAGGTCGCAGCGTTTAAAATCGAGCAAACCCATGGTGTTGTTGCCGGTCAGGTGGTTTTCTGCAAGAAGACAAAAGCATAATTGTGGGGCTTGATTAGACATGCTCCCTTTTTACTGGGCACATGCCTCAAAGACTGACTTCAGATGTCCCATTACTACTTCAAGCATCTGAACTTCCATCATGGTACCTTCTAAGACCCCTGCTTACCCTCCTCCACCTCCGCTGCTTGGCTTCAGAAAAGCTGAATTAATCCTGGAAAAAGGATATTCTGCTACCAGCTTTCATGAGCCTGTATCTCCTCCTAGGAAACTGCTCATCTCCTAAAAGCAAACATTCTCCTTCCTCCCTTTGTTGTGTTTTCCAGAGAGCTGATGTGTCACAGTCCCTAGAAGGTTCTGTTCCAGATTCTGTCTCCAGATCTCTTAACTGCTCTAAAAAGTGTGTCCTGTATGTGGGTCAGATCTCTGGCTAAAATCATCACAGTTCTGTTTATCAACTGAACCATTAAAAACTATTTCTGTAATTAATAGTAATTCTGAGAATTAATGTATTTTCATTATTGCCCTAATTATTAACTGAAAAATGTATCCTTTGAATGCTTGAGAGATTTCAGATTATTTTATTCATGAACTGGTTATTTTTCTAATAAACAGTTGTTGTTCCCCTGTGAAGATGTTAAAGGAGTTTATTTCATTTTAATTTAAATTTCACCGCAATAAACTAGAACACTTTCAGATATGTTCTATATATTTTTTTGCTAATTTGCTCGCATAACATTTTCGGACACATATTTATGAAATATTCAAATTTTTTGCAGTTACAGGAAATTATTTAGTGGATAGTGAAAATAATGAGATGTGTTAATAAGACATCCATTTGTCCATTCATTTGCTGTCACGCTTATCCCAAACAGAGTCACGAGGGGTGCCTGTCTCCAGCTGTCTACGGCCGAGAGGTGGGGTATGGCCTGGACAGGTCGCCAGTCCATCGCAGGGCATTTAACAAAACAGCTCTATATTTCTTTGATAATTTTAATTCCAACCAGACAAACCTTGAAATGTTAATTTCTACTTACCGCCATCATACCAATTGAAGAAAGTTGCAATCTTATCCCCTCTGGACCATTTCCAATCGTCATCTTTGTTCTCTTTATACAATCCGATCCATCCTTCAAAAGAACTTGAAGCAGAATTTTCCTCTTTATTTCTTATTGTTGCCAGATCAGTGTGGTGTTTCCTGCAGAGAGACTGGGCTTCTTTCCAAGTCATCTCTTTTTCGTACATTTTAAAGCCCCTTTGTCTAAGAACTGACTGCCCATATATGGGGGGAAGGATGAGCAGCATTACGATAAAGATGAAAATGCCACCTGACATGTTTTCACTGAGGGAGTTTTATTTTCCTGCAAGAACATAACAGTAAATCATATCTTATATTTAGAATGAGCAGTGGCACCTGTTATTTTGAAAATAACTCAAAACTGTACAAAAAATAACTATTGATGCCAAAAAACACAGCAAACAATTCAGGGATAAAACTGTTGATACATTTAAAGCAAGGTACTGTGCATTCAAACATCTGCCAATGACCTACTGAGCTATTTTTGACAAAAATTGGCAGGCTAGGAGAACATCACTTAAAAATGTGATGATGTTAGTGTAAAAAATTCTTCAGGAGCACAGTGAGATCACCATACTGCCTCCTTTGTACAAAAAAAAAAGAAAAGTTAAAATATAATCCTGTTAGTCTACAAAAAAAATGACCTAAAGCAGAATTATTCTCACCCCATAGAAAGGTTTCTATGGGGTGAGAATAATTCTGCTTTAGGTCATTTTTTTTGTACCCCATAGAAAGGTTTCTATGGGGTGTATTTTAAATCAGGTTTTGAGCATGAAACGTTTAATGAGAAAACTTGACACTTTTCTCTACAGTACATATCAAGAAAAAGAGCACATATCAAAGAGTTTCTTTCATCTGAAATAAATTATGTGGTGGCAGTTAGGCACTAAACATTTAAGGACTTATAGGTTGTCTAAACATCATATCAACAGACACATTACTGAAATATGCTTATAATTATTTAATCCAATTGTACTTTACTCACCTTGGTATGCAACAGCATGCAGTGTTTCTGGCTCTCTGGTTAAGACCACACATTTTATCTGCAAGATCTCTGAGTAAAAGGACACCACATTCATTCAGATCACAGTATTTTACCTATTTGGAAATGAGGATTAGAGTGAACCAATAACATGTAAGCCAATAAGTTGCACTCACTTCACCTCCTCTATGTGTCCGCTGAGTTCTGTTTAGCATGTTAGGCTCTATCTGTTTATATGTTTTAAGTGGGAAAAATAGTGCTGGTGCTCATCTTAATGCCATACAAATATGCTACAGAAACATAGGTCATATCTTTTTACCAATCTATCAATAGTTGTATTGTACAGATATTAATTTAAAAAAAGATCTAAAATGTAAGAGTGATGACAATCATTTATTTCCTCCCCTCTTCCTTACTCATGTGAAATCCCTTACAGCTACATAAATGTACTGCAAGCATTTTTTACTGAAGCAATGGATTTCTTTTAATGCATTTTTCATCAACAAACATGATATAACATATAAACTGCACAGAGGAACAAAGGGCGGGACGGAGTGTGGGGTAAGGTTATGAACAAAGAACCTGATAAGCTTCCTACACTTGTCATCCTCTACTTTAGTTAACATTGAGATAACAGCTTTGCCATGGATCCCATATTGGCCTTTAATGCCATTAGCCTGGCATTAAAGGTTAACATGGGATTTTTTTTCACCTAAAATACCTGTTGGTGGAAAAAAAGTATAAATATTTATTCAGTTTTTTTTCTGTTGTTCAGCTGAACAAAACCAAATGGCTAGGTCTGTGAGAGAACTTTTTTAAATGGAAAAAGGGAAAACTTTCCCGGTGATGTGCTTTGTGTGGTCAGAGGTAAATAAAATAAAAAGTCCTCATCCTACATACCTGCAACCAACATGGTCAAAACATATTTCTAATTAATTATATATTATTAAATAGTTTTCATTGAGAATTGTTTTTAGTAAAACACACCCAAATTATATTATTACTTTCATTCAGAATTTGAAAAACTCTTTTCTTAAAGTATGCATATTCTCAGATTTATCTATTATACTAGAGCTAGAACCAGCTGGCTTCTGCAGCCTGAATAGAGACAGATGATGAGCAACCATATACTCCTCTGATCCTTACTGAACAGACAGAATCGGCAGGAGCTCCATCTCCTGCCCTCCCTGCTTCTAATCAGTTGGAGGGATAAGAATGGATTAGGGATTACCACTTTGTAATCTGCCTGATTCCTTGATTAACGAGACTGGGCTGAACAGGAGCCACTAAGCTACATAATACACTTGTCAACTTCTACACTTTCCATGAATCCAAGCATTAGCAATAAAGATTACCCCAGCGTATCATTTGTCTGAGACAACCATGAGCTATACACATATCACTTCATCCCAGTAGCCACTACAACAGACACAACAGCAACTTGTGGGCCATTCATGCAAATGGAGATTTCTGTCTCTGACCCACAATGGGAACGACAGGGATAATGAATACTCAGATTTGTAGTGTATTTTTATGTAAATGCTTTTGGTTTTATATTCTTTAAGGTCTTTTGAAAGCTTGCAGTGGAATAAACAAATATTTTTAACTTATGTTCCCTGGTTGTAAGAAATTGCTTACCCGAGTGCAACAGCTAGTCTATGTTTTAGCTTAATTGCAGATCTGAATGTTTTTGGATGTCCTCTCAGTTCGGGGTCAACAAGTTCAAATCCTGTTTATAAGTAATTTATTATTAAAGTAAAGGTTATTTAGAGTGTTGTGGATCCATGCAAATAAACTGGGTGAAAGCTCTGAGGCATACGCTCCTACCTCCACTCTCAGTCTCATATGGCCCAGAGCGGGGCTGAAAGGATCCAAAGGGTTTAGTGAAATGAGGACACAAACTGCTCAGTGTTAAGCAGAGTGTCTCGGTGGCATCATTAACCACAGCATTGGACAAGGTTGTAGTTGGTGCCAGCTACAGAAAATACAGTCTTACTAATATTAAGCTTACCAATTAAGGTTTGACCAACTTCTATGCCTTGTTTTGCTCAAGCAGCCAATATTTATTTTACCCAGTGAAATGGAAATTGTGCTATTTGACTGTATGATCTGGTTGCCTTGAGATGACATGTGTTGTGAATTTGGCGCTATATAAATAAACTGAATTGAATTAAAAATTGCTATGGGGTGGTACAGATTTTATTGTTGCCGTACAGCAGGAGGGTTCTGGGTTTGAAATGGCCTTTCGAGTTTGCAAGTTCTCGCTGTGTATGCATGGGGTCTAGAAATATGACTGTTGGAGTGATGGGTGAGTTTAAAATGCCCTTAGGTGTGAGTATGTATATATTTCTGTTACCATTTGATGGAATGACGAGCTGTCCAGGGTGTACCCCGCTTTTTGCCAAAAAACTGTTGAAAATAGGCAACAGCCCCCACCCATTCCTTTAGTGCAGAAAGATGACGTTAGTCATTTATTTGACTACAAGTCCTTTTCAGCATGCCAAGCATCATTAAAAATAGTTTTTGAATGTTCTGCTTCAAGGCATAGGCACATTCAAATGTTCCTGTGGATCACTGAAACGTCAAACCTTAAATTTGCAAAACCAATTTGTTTTTGTTTTTTTTTACCAACACTCCTTCATTCTCTGAGATATTTTGTGTGTTTTTTGTGTGGAAATAGGGAATGCAAAAACTTCCAAATCACTGAATCATTATTTAGAAACAGAGGAGCTAGAAACAGAAACAGTTCACACAAAAAAAAAAAAAAAACACAGAAACTAGCTTTCAAAATACCCTAATCCAGATTTCAAAAAACCTTTAAGTGCCCAAACAAATTTGCCAGACAGTGGCAAAACCATCAACCATTTTACCCAGGGCTCTTTTGAGAAATTTCTGAGATATCTTTAGGCTTTTCAGTGATGTCAAACATGATGAAATCTAAAAAAAAAAAAGAATTTAAGAAGATATGATTATTTGAAGGTTGGCAAACTGCACAGTAAGGAGAAATTAGTCTTTAAACTTTTTTTAGATCCTACATAGAAACCTAACCTGGGATAAGGCAGATGGATACGTTGTAGAATACAAATTGAACCATACAAATCAATCTGGGAAGCATCCTGTAAAAAGTTTTCAAAAAAGTATACTTGTTCAAGTTTATTAGGTACCTGCTTTCCATGTCAAGTTTTAAGCCAATCACAGCCGCAGTAGCAGCTGAGATGTTTCACATTCAGCCTTCCTGGGGGTTTCAGTGGGGTTTTTAAGAACCCCCTCAGGCTCCTGTTCGGTTGTAGCTGGAAAAAAATAATACAGATTGATTAAGTGCATTTGTCATTCTTGTTAACCCTGTCATTTTGATGGGTCTTTCACTTATTAAGTCTGTGCTATTTACAAATGGTTTTTTTCCAGGGCAGCACACCTCTAAAATGACTCACTGATTTAATTAATGAAAAAAAAAATCAGGCATGGAAAACACTCTACTTTTGGCAAAAATCTGGATTCCAAATTGGTTACATGGATGAATTGAACTTTTCCCAGAAATAGATTCATTACAACTTTGGTAACGCACCAGAGTGCCACTAAACATGGCTCTAGAATCGAACTTAGAATGTTTGTGCTGCCTGAAGGTAGCATTGATTTTAAGAGGATATTTCTGTACTACAGCTTTTGCAATGAAAGTGCTCTATCTCTCTTCCCCATTCTGCAGTATTTGTTAGTTCAATCTCTAACATTATGTTCTCTGTGCTTTTTCTTCCTGTAAAAAGGGAGTTTTTCCTCTCCACTGTCGCTACAAGCATGGTTAGTGTGAGGGATTGCCTTCGAGTCAATGAGTCGATGCAATCAACTGCTTTCCCCTTAGATAGAAAACTTTGACTGTCTGATCTGGTCAACTATAAAGTGCCTTGAGATGACATGTGTTGTGAATTGGTGCTATATAAATAAACTGAATTGAATTAATAAAAAAAGCTTTCTATGTATAGCTTTTACCCATTCTGGTGGTTTAATAACATAAATATATGATTAAAAACAATAAATATTTATGTTCCTGTTTGGCAATAATTTAGGAGTACAACTGTTACCATATTTTTGCTTACTTGAATATAATCACCAATTTGCATTATATAAGGCAGTATTGTGAGGTCAAATTTGGTCTGCAGAGTCAACAAGGTTCACTTCTGTCTTAAAGCTAAATAACCACCAGTAATTTAATGTTGCCTACTGTGTGTCATATGTCACCTACTGTAAAATAAGTACAATGAAAAGTTGATATGTTAAATTAAACTCCTAATAAGCTACGTTAAAAAGCTCATTTAAAAAGTCAAAGTTAAACAATGTAAGATCCAGTATCAGCAGTAGTGTTCTGAGGAATTGGTTGTAATAAAACAAGTGTCTTTCTGTAAGTGTTTTTTACAAATCTCTTACAGAAGAGTAAAAAACTCTTTCTAAAGCAGGTAGCTGCTTTAGGAATTTATTTTGACTTTTATATTTGCAATTAAAAACACAGTTTTTAAAAGTTACAAAGTAAGGTCATGTTCTCCCTTTTAATAACATTCCACTTGAAAATCGGAATTTCAGTATTTCATCAAGTGCCCTATAAAGGTTTAATTAAAAAGATTTCCGGTTATAATGCATTTGCATTAAAATTTAAATTACTCGATTAAAAACGTTAAACTAGTGGTAACACTAATTAAAATGGTTTGACTGATTTGATAAAAAGTTGATGATGAAACTATTACAAAATTAGGAATCTGTCCAATCATGAACATTAAGCTATCAATCTAACTTATGACAATATCCAAAAGAAATTAACAAAAATATCTTTATTAAGTTAAGGTGAATGTTGACTGATCCTGTTAGTATGTCAGCAGGCTCGGACTGGTAATCTGTGATACCGGGAAGGTGCCCGGTGGGCCAGTCCTAAATTCAGCATGCAAGGGCCAGCCCTCCTTAAAGGCTGAACTTTAAAAAAAGATGAAATTGTTCAGTGAGCTGTTCCAAATTAAAGTTCTTTTTGTTTACACTTGTGTAAACAAAAACACAAATAAAATCTATCCAAGTCTATGATCACTTCAAAGCAGTAAGAAGGAGAAGGGAAGTCCACTATTTCAGAATGATAAACTTCACTGGGCATTGGCAGAGAAACTGGCAGATGGATTAAAATTCAACAGTAAAACAGATAAAAATAGGAAAGTACAAACTATGTGGATGTGAAGATGCAACATACAGCAGAATGGGTTGTTGACTATTTCTTTAATTTCAGGCAAAAGTTCCTGTGAGTTCCTATGAGCCGGAAAGCTCTTAAAGGAATAGTACACCCAAAACATGATTAGCCTTCATTTTCTACTCACCCTCATGCTGAACAACAGTCTGGAGTACTTTTTTGATATCTCAAATGCATCTGGAGATCTGGGAGGCTTCTTGCTGTCTGCTGACATTCAAATAATGGAGGTCCATGGCGCCCGAGACAGAAAGGTCCACAAAAGTCCACAAAAACGTGTAAATATTCCTCCATACTGCTCGTCCAATGTAATCCAAGTGTCCTGAGTGGGTAGCATCCAGAATTTACTCGAAACGAAGTCATTTAGAACGTTTTAGAGCCTAAACAGTAGTGTATAGGATTTCCTAATAGCGCCCCCATGCGCGCTCACGATTCTACGGAAGCCGGCAGACCAAACCGGAAGAAAGTGCGCATTCAGCGTCTGCTCTGCCGATAATGCAAGCGTAGAAGAAGAAATGTGCTGTTTACCTGTGCAAAGAAAGAAACAACGAAAGAAAAATGTCTGAGGACTTCAGTGTTGAGGAAGAGCATGAGTTCTTTGCCGAGCTGAATGCGCTGGTTTGGTCTGCCGGCTTCCGTAGAATCGTGAGCGCGCATGGGGGCGCTATTAGGAAATCCTATACACTACTGTTTAGGCTCTAAAACGTTCTAAATGACTTCGTTTCGAGTAAATTCTGGATGCTACAAACTCGGGACACTTGGATTACATTGGACGAGCAGTATGGAGGAATATTGACACGTTTTTGTGGACTTTTGTGGACCTTTCTGTCTCGGGCGCCATAGACCTCCATTATTTGAATGTCAGCAGACAGCAAGAAGCCTCCCAGATCTCCAGATGCATTTGAGATATCAAAAAAGTACTCCAGAGTTTTGTTCAGCGTGGGGGTGAGTAGAAAATGAAGGCTAATCATGTTTTGGGTGTACTATTCCTTTAAACTCCAATACCCAGCATGCAATGGGGCTTGTGGCGTCACGGGTTGGAGGCAGAGCGAGAGGGCGGTTCTGAATGTAGCTTCCTACTGAAAGGTTCTGTGGAAGTTTGGAAATAAATATACAGAACGCCTCGTCTGTTCTATATGGAATCAAAGAACAACACATTTCCAAAAATCTTTCGAAGAATCTGCCACGGCTCAGCCGCCTGACGTCGGTGTGCAGCAGCAGATCAGTGTGGTCTGCACCTGCCTCCTCGAGCTGGGCACGGAATAAACGCCTCTGAAAACTCCTGGCCCGAACAGAGCAAGCGATCTTCATCGCAACGTCCATGACATGCTTCATTTTTAAAATACTGCCGCACAGCTGTTGTTGATGAATGATGCAGCGGTAGCTCCAAAAATCTGGGAAAGTTTGAGACAGCTTGAACAGAGCAATGAATCCAGCAGTGCGCCCAACCATAGATGGAGCCACATCAGTTGTGATACTGTAGATGTCATTATCTCTGCAGATTCCTCTTCGCGCTTTAGAGTCCCTGGTAACAACCTAGCAACCGTGGCAAACCATGCCCAGCAATCAGCATGCATAAAAAAAGGTTTCCTGCATACTTTTTATTTTTCATTTTATTATTATGAAAATTAACATTGGCCTCTCGTGATCAATGATTTGATTAGTGTTTTTTACAACTTTTTTTCTTTTTTCTTTGTCATAGCCATAAACAGGTCTACATTGTAAAACTTCTCGCGATCGACTGGTAGAACGCGATCGACTGGTTGGGCACCCCTGCTCTAGCTGAAGCACCTACCTGTGACAGTAAATAACTCAAGGAGCTCAAGAACTAATACAATGTTAACTACCTAAATGATGCATGCAGTATATATAGCCCTTACTTGTCATGCACATCCTTGTGAAGGTTGGCATATGGTGTAATTTTCTATTTCTTCAAACTGTAAAATCCTATTTCTTTAAAACGTAAAATCCTTGCAACAAACTAGATTATATTGAAACTAAAATGCTTTCTTTAAACCAAACTATGATGTTCCTCTTATATTTGGCAAATGTATGTTAGAATATTTGCAAAAATATGTTGCAGCGCATGATGGGGTTTTGTATCTAAAGACTAACTTTTACTGTCTTACATACATTGTTGCCAGGTTGGGATGTTTCCCAATCCGGCAGTTTAGGACGGCCGTCTATGGGTGAAAAATTTTTTTCTTTAGATTTATGGCCTAAGAGATCAATAAACTTTGGTTCAAATTGGGTGAGATTGCATATATCCAGGCAGTTTATTAACATTATTTGGTCTGGAATGCATCAGTTAGTAAGATCTGGCAACCCTGCTGATGTGATTAGAGTGGACGTTATGCAGTAGCAGTCAATGTTGCGTCCTTGTTAATAACCAAAGCCAGTAAAGCTGCATTGTAGAAGTCTAGGTGATGGTTCTCGTGTGATGCTTGAAGATAGATCAGTTACTCAAAATGGGTATTTGTAATGCCTGTGCTTTCACTTATTTTTCAGGGGGTGGAGGTCCATAAGTGAGCCGGTATAGGTGGAAAAATGCCAGGGCGGAGATTTGTTCCCAAAACCGTTTAATCCGTTCCCAAAACTGTTTCCAAAACCGTTTAATCATTCCCAAAACCGTTCCCAAAACCGTTTAATCATTCTCAAAACCGTTTAATCCGTTCCCAAAACCAAAACCATTTAATCATTCTCAAAACCGTTTAATCCGTTCCCAAAACCAAAACCATTTAATCATTCTCAAAACCGTTTAATCCGTTCCCAAAACCATTTCTAGTCACCGTTCCCAAAACCGTTCCCAAAACCGTTTAATCATTCTCAAAACCGTTTAATCCGTTCCCAAAACCAAAACCGTTTAATCATTCTCAAAACCGTTTAATCCGTTCCCAAAACCATTTAATCATTCTCAAAACCGTTTAATCCGTTCCCAAAACCAAAACCGTTTAATCATTCTCAAAACCGTTTAATCCGTTCCCAAAACCATTTAATCATTCTCAAAACCGTTTAATCCGTTCCCAAAACCATTTAATCATTCTCAAAACCGTTTAATCCGTTCCCAAAACTGTTTAAACCGTTCCTAAAACCGTTTCTAGTCCGAGCCAGGATGTCCGCACTGGAAGAGAATCCCATGACTTAATACCCAAGTATAAGTATAGTATCACCAATGAGTGTGACAAAAAATCTGGATTAGATGGTTAATTTGTAACAGTGTTTAATTGTTCTTCAAACTCCTCAAGGGATGAAGCACAACACTTGAGTAAACACAACAGCCTTATCACTCAGGGTGAAACTCACATGCTCTTAACACACACCCCCAAAACAACATGAACTGATGCAAATGCAAACAATGAAGAACATGAGCATCAACCAAACAGAATGACAAGAAAATGAACAACCAAACAAACCAAAACAGTGCCCCATAATACACATCTTTGTCCCTCGGCTACAGTAATTTTAAGCCTTAAAAACGTTGCTGACCTCTTAACCATTTATTATTTATTTGGGGGCAAGGGAACCACCCAAAGGGAACGAAGAAAGCTTAACTCCGCCCTTGCAGCTGTCGCTCCCTGCAGCTCGCCTGTTTTGGAAAAACAGCTGACCGCTCGCTGCTCTACGGTAAACCGACACCTGCCTGCCGCCTCACTGCCGTCGAAATGCGCCTGTTGGAGGTCCTGCTGCACCCCTCCTCAGACATGAAGAACAAACATAAGAGGGATGTGAAGACAGCGCTTCCTGATCGCTTCAACATGTCCAGCTTTGAGGTTTCTCTGCAGCAACTCAACGATCTACTGACGGATGAGAGCGGCTTCTACAGCTGGCCCACCAAACACTTCCATGAGGTATATCCACGGATCTACATCGGCAATGCGTGAGTCTGAATTTATAGAAGTTCATTATCAGCTGATCTGTTCATATACTAATGCTGCAAATAAAGTCTTGGACATTCCTTATCTTCTAAAATGATAACCATGCAATTTAATTATCTGTCTGTCTGGGGGGTATCTCACATTCAACACTGAACAGTCTACATCTTTCTAGAAAGAGTTCATTGAATTGGTTCCCTGCTGCACCTTATGCTGCTTCCCTGGTTGGTGGATAGGAGCAAAGATATGATGTGCTGTGTCACAGCAAGGAGGTTAGGGAAAAGTGTCCTGTAAATAAAATGGAGCACAGATGAAATATGGATGAGCCGAAAATAACTGCTGTGCTTCTTCTGTCTCCTGGATGAGTTAGACCTCTTTTTCTCTGCGTTCTTTTCATCCTCATCTAGCTGATCCTTTTTTGATTCATCAGACAGGATAGAGGGATTTAGTGTTTGTGTGTTAGGTCTGGACTTTAACAGGGTCACTCTTTGATCTAAACCAAAATATTCTGCTCTGCAAAATATTCTTAAACTGGATAGACTCAATTTCATCCTTCAAAACAATTATATCATCCTTGTTCACAGACACCTGCAGCTGCTTCTCTACATAGTTATTTTTGGGTTTTCTGTTGTGTTCTCAATTGTATTTTATGTATGGACTACTAATGTATTCTATTTAATTAAATTAAATTCAGTTTCTTTCTATAGCGCCAATTCACAGCACACCATCTCAAAGCACTTTGCAATTCACCAGATCATACGGTGAAATTGATTTAAAGTTTTCTATAAGGAAAACCAGTTGATTAAATCGACTCATTGACTTAAAGGCAATCCCTCACACTAAGCATGCATGTAGCAACAGTGGAGAGGAAAAACTCCCTTTAACAGGAAGAAATCTCCAGCAGAACCAGGCTCAGTGTGAGCGGCCATCTGCCGAGGCTGACTGGGGTTCAAGGAGACAGAAGCAGAGATACGAAAAGCAGCTGTAAAAAGCGGCCCAGTCCAGGAAACACACAGCCAGGCAGACGAGCTCCGAGCCAGCTCCCATGTCAGAGGATGAAGAGAGCACATCCAGCCAGTCACAGTCAGAGAAACAGGACTACACTGGAAAACATTTATTTAAAAAAATGTCCTCAGCACAGCAGGGTAAAGTTGTTGAGAAGTTTAAAGCTGCCTTTGATTACCAAACAATATCAGATATTCCTTGGATCAAAAGTACTGAACATAAAAAAACATACATGACCAGTTTAGACAAGTAGGCAATTAACAGAGGCTCTCATGTAGGATAACTTGTGTAAGAGAAACTAACAGCTTAGGCTAAATCCACCAGTGGGCCTTGAACATTTAGCCTTAAACTCATTTTGATTTTAACCCACATGTTTCTAAGCTTAACTCTAATGTTTGGATGGGTTCAGCAAGAGTCCTGGCTTAAATTCCATAGAATAGCAGGTATAGATGTGCAATAGTTGACTTTGAGGTCATTACCAAAGATAAAAGTTTTCAATAGCTGGTAGTGAATATACTCCTGATAAAAAAAAAAAAAACGTAGCTGCAAACTAGGTGAAAAGGAGTGAAAATTATTTTTTATATTTTTTCCTTTTTGATAAAGCCATAAAAAAGGGATATCTGAATCAAAGCTTTTTCTCAGTGTCACATCTACAACAGCTGTAGATAAAGATCAAAAATGGCTAATGGCGTTAGTTATAACCATCGCAACATAAACTATTTGGTCTCGTCTTGTTTCTCTCTCTTCTGTTTATTTTTAAGATCTTGATATTTTTAAAACCTAAAAACATTGCTCAACCCTAAAATTAGATCCTGTACTGATTCAGACGTTTAGGCTGAACGTCTTGGATCTTTATTTGTTTTTGGAATCCATCAATTTCATGGTTTTTTTCTGCTTTATGTTGATCTATCACATGAAATACCAATGTTAAAATTGTAGGTTGTGTTTTTCAAAATTCAATGAGTCGTAGAGTCTCTGAATCATGTTCTGCGGATTGTATGCAGGAATAGATTTGTTTCTGCATACACTACATATTCCTTATTAACAGTATTTTAGAGTATTCATGAAATATCTACATCAAAGGGTTAAAGTAGTGTCTAACACAAAGTATATGACTTAGAACAATCACACATTTGGTACACAGGAGGTAGAGCAGGAGATGTTAGGGAAAACTATACTTCTAATCTTTTCATAGCTTTTCAAAAGCATTAAAAACAAAGCCTGCTTTCTAATTGCAGTCATGGTAGAATATTTCCAGATATGTACTCTATTTTTACCTTTTTTCATACCACCTACTCTTATACTGAATTAAAAAAGGAAGTTTGGCCAAATTTAGTCTGCTTATATAAAGGTGCTTGGAGCTGGATAAACAGAACATGCGCCCAGGCTTGGCTGTTTCTCTGATGTTTTGATCTTTAGGTTCTCTGTAGGAATGGATGTCTGCATCAGACTCCACTGACTATTTTTAGCTCTTCTGTTTTCAGAGGAAAGAGGTCTGAAGCATTGCAGCAGAAATTCAGTTAATTGGAGCACGTCTTGCTCCTGAAAGAAAATAGTACAGGGAGAGGACAAAAGACTATTTAAAAAAAAATCTATTTTATGTTAATTATTTAGGTAGTATGTTAACATGTCAATGTAAGCAACACAGAGAAAACTCTAAGCACAGAGTAAAGATCGACATATACAGGGTTTTTTTTAAGGCTGATACCGATACTATGTATTTATTTTTATATCATCATTATGCTGCAGATTATTTTGGTGGGCTGATTCTTTACACTTAATTCACTTACAATTCATTTTCAATACAGCAAAATTTACAGTGGCTCAGGTTTTTCTGACCTACAATATCTGCATGGCATAGTTACGCTGCTATAGGCTTAGACTGCTGGAGGACCAGACCACCTTTCATCATTCAATCTCTAATTTTGAAATCGGCAATATTTTTATTTTCTTCCCTTTAAAAGTCTTCCCTTTTAATCATCATAGTAGGTCCATATGGTCTGTTCCTTTTTTTTTTTTATATATACAGTGTCCTGTCTGGCAATGTGGCAATAAGATCTGGTCTGTTCCTGTTTAGTTGTGAGACCATCTTGGTGGGAAGCATGGGCTAATGACATCAACATCTCTGATCATTGTTTCATCTTATTTGTTTTCAGGATGGAACTTTTTCTGTTAAAAAGATTTACTGGTTTTATGACTTCCTTTTTTGACATACTAATCTCAAGTGGATTTGATGAATAATTTTTTTGTTGATCCAAATATATTTATTCAAAGACATAAGTATAGTTCGTTGAATTGCACATCTGATCTTGTCGATCAGGATATGCAGACTGCAGCCAAAATAAAGGCTTTATTGTTTTCACAACCTTATATAGCCTCCCCGTTTGAAAAGATGGTCCCTCAAATTAATGGTTCACAATCTCTTGATTGAATAGCCTTGCATGTGAACTAAAAAGACCTAAAAAAAAAAATATGTGAAATAAAAAATACAATTGGTAACTCAGACAGTAAATTGTCTTTAACCTTTTAGGGTTCTTAATTTACCATGAATGAATTCCAAGGATCAGCATCTCCAAATACGAGGCCATGTTTCTCCACCGGAGAAAGGTGGACTCCCCTCTTCATGTTGGTGGAAAGTCCTTGTTCACGAGTGAGGGGCGGATGGAGCATAAGATGATTGACGGATTGGTGCAGCGTCGGCAGGACTGTAGTGGTGCAAAGCTCTACATTTACCGATCGATCTACTTTCCAACCCTCACCTATGCTCATAAAATCTGGGTAATGACAGAAAGGACAGGATCGCGAATACATGCTGCTGAAATTAGTTTCCTTGGGTTAGGAGCTCAGTTACCCGGGAGGAGCTCAGAGTATAGTCACTGCTCCTCCACGTCGATCTGTTTTGGATGCCTCCAGCTAGCCTCCCTCGGGAGGTGTTCCAGGCATGTTTCTTTGGGAGGAGGCCTTGTTGAAGGCCCAGGACACGCTGGAGGGACTATGTCTCTGGCCTGGTGTCGCCTCAGGGTGCCTCCAGAGCAGCTGGAAGAAGTGTGAGTCGATCGGGAAGTCTTGGCACCTTTCCTTAGACTGCTACCTCTGCGACCCGGTCCTGGATAAGCAGTAGAAAATGGTGGGATAGATGGACTTCCAAGTCTGAAATTATTAAAACCCTTTGAATCCTTAAATATTTACCTTGAGTGCTATTACTATCTTTTACCATGCATACTTATATAACTTTTAACATTTTCTTTCATAATTCCTAGTACCAAAAAAAACACATAATAATGCAACCATCTGTGCCTTCACCCTGCACATAACACTAAAACTTTCTATTGGTGAATAAATTATCAGAACTTTAGCTCCCTCTACATGACAAAAACGTCACTAAAACAAAGGAACCTGTACGCTCAATGAAATATGAGTAAATATGCATCTGCACTACAAAACACTATTACACACCTTGTGCACTTATCAAACAGGTGCTAAGAAGTTTATTGTGGTACCCTTGTGTGAAGAGCTTACTTATAGTTGCATATATGGATCTGCATGCTAGCAAAAACTCTCTTCTGTGTGGCGGTAAACCCACTTTAAGTGTAATTCCACCTTTAAGGGCTCTGTTGTCCTTAGGAAAACCGGTGTATTATTTTTGATTAAATTTAATGTGACCAAAATTGAGTGACTGCAATTGAAACTGTATTTTATTAAGTTGCGATTGTTAGAATTTCTTCTAAGTGGTGAAAAATATGGTTTCTTCAACACCATAATGTCCTATATTAAGAGTTGTTGTACCTTAATATCATTAAAGGGGAATGCCTTTTTTTTTTATATTGGCCCCTCCGCTTTGTTTTTAAAATATATAAATATAGAAAATTTAACCGCGGTTGTCTGGGGGACAGTGATTCACCTACATGTTATGAATGCTGGTGTACCATAAAGAAAAAAATATGAATAGTTCAGTTTGTGCATTCAACTCGTTCCCATAGGAAGACGTTACTTGGATATAACCTAACCGAATATCTTCAGAATGGCTCCAAATGGCACAAAACTCATATGGGAGAGTAGAACATGATGTAATAACATAAAATCAAGGGCCCAATGTAAAAAAAAAACGGCGTTCCCCTTTAAGTTGGTGCCAAAGGGGCATGATGAGATTTTTCCATTTTCTTCCATTTTCCATTACTGGTACGTTTTTAACCATACATCTGTCAGCACATGACAGGTTGCCAAAGCAGCCTTTTGTTTATTTTAACATAATAAAACATTTTGTTTTGAGTATTGATAATACTGATCTTTTTGTTTTCAGATTTGTTGCAACAAACGTGATGCGCCTTAAGCGTCTACGCATCACTCACATCCTGAATGCAGCAGAGGGAAACTCCTTCATGCACGTCAACACAAGTGCCGACTTCTACGCCGGCTCAGGAATCGTCTACCATGGCATCCCAGCCAACGACACCGACCACTTTGACATCAGTGTCTACTTTGAAGAGGCGGCAGACTTTATAAAGAAGGCCCTGGCTTATAAAAATGGAAAAGGTTGGGGATCTAGTTTTAACTTGAGCATATACAGTTAGATTAATATGCACATTATGCTTTTTTATTTCTGGATCTCATTGCTATAGCAATCCATTTCCAGCACTTAGAAAAAAGGAAAGTGGTGTGTCATATTTATTGGATTAAAAGTACCTTTTCACTGAGATGAGACAAAAAAAACATAATTTTGATGTTCAAAGTCATAATTATGATTTTTTTATTCATAATTTTGTCTTTTATAGTTACAGCTATGAGATTCAAAGTCATAATTTTAACGCTATAAGTAATAATATCCAGATCAAAAAAGTCAAAATTTCATCCTTGAAATTATGACTTTGAATCTCATAACTGTCACTATAAAAGACAATTATGACTTAAAACCTCATAATTACGACTTTCAACATTTAAAAGATGTTTTTTTTTTGTCTAATCTAAATTACTTTTAAATTACTTTGAATCAGATAAATATGACATACTATGTTCCATTTTTTTTCTCACAAATTTACAAATTCAAGAAAAACTTGATGTTGAAACATTTTTATGACCTTTTCTAATCTTATGTGTAGTAAAGCAACTAAAACTTTGGCATTTTTCTCCCTTCTAGGAAAGGTGTACGTCCATTGCAGGGAAGGTTACAGCCGCTCACCTACCTTGGTCATCGCTTACCTAATGCTTCACCAAAAAATGGATGTCCACTCCGCTCTGGCCATGGTGCGACAGAAAAGGGAGATTGGACCCAATGACGGCTTCCTTCGGCAGCTCTGTAGGTTAAACCAAAGGTTGGCAGCTGAGGGGAAACTATGGAACAAATAAGTTACACAAGACTAAAGTATGCTTGGTTGCAGATGGCATAGTTTCCACTTGTTTGAATATCGTATGGGCCACTGGCCTGTGAAGCAATGTTCTGAACAAAATGACAGTACTTTCCTTCTGACTGAGGAGGGAAGCAGCATTGTGTTGTCTCTACTGTACAGAGCAGATTAACACATTTTACACATGAATGGTGTTTAAATTATGCTCACATGAACTTGCATCTGGGTCATTCACTAGCAGATTAATCTGGCCCTTTTAGAAGATACCAGGAATGTTCTGAAATTATCTAATTATTCCAGGTTTATAAAAAAAATGGAAAACTGACTCTTAATGAAAAGTTCTAACATTTGCAGAAATCTCCTTTGGCCAAAACTAAAGGCATACATGAAGTATGTTTTTAAGACTGTACTTTGAGCTAGGGTTGGACAGATTTGCTTTGAGTAACTCCTTTTAATTAGCATTGCCCCGATACTGATACCCAATACCTGGCTGTACAGTATTGGCCGATACCGATACCATCTGTTTGAAATTGATGTGTCAGGTGTGTATATATGAAGAACTGCATAGTACTTGAATGTAAAGTAACTGCCATCATTGCTTTGTCAAGCGCCTGCCTACCTTTGTGAAGCAGGAAAAAAAAACTAATACAAAGTGAATCCTGTAGAACTTTTTATTGCCTACCTGGAAAGGGTGACAATAGTTAAATAAACATTGCTCTCAAAATGGTATCGGTGCCCTATTTGTTTTACTCGCCGATTCTGATACCACCATTTTAGTGCTGTATGGCGCCCCACCTGATACTGGTATCGTTATCGGTGCAACGCTATTGCTAATAATGGTTAACATACTGTAAAATTGATCATTTATGACATGTTTTGTGAATATTCGATTTATTAGAGTTTGGTGTTTTTGTTGTTTTTCCTTGAGGTTTCCATTTTTTTAATAGTATAATGCTGTAACACCTATGGTGAGAAGTAGAAAATAGATTCTGTTGCTGTCAAATCTAGTCTAATCTCTCATCTTCACTTCTATCTATTGGCACTTTGTTTGGCCCTTGTCCTGCAAACACTGCCAACGGTCTCAATCACAGCTTCCCTCACTGTGAATTTTCATGATGAATCAGGAAAATTTTAAAAACTAGAGGATTTTAATAAAATATTTTTTTCTAATGTTTTATGTGTGAAGGAACTTAACAATCCTGAACAGTATTGCACTTAGGAAGCTATTTCAGAAGTATTCCTGAATATTATGCTGTCTTTATGAAAATTTTAGTGTTTTCAATGACAAAATAGCTGAAGTCCTTATCACAATGTGAAAAAATTAATTGTTGTGAATTATAACATTAACTTTATTTGTAGCAAACCAACTGATCAAGAATAGTAAAAAAAATCTACATTACAGATGTTGTAAACATAGTCCTAGGTTTGATTCAAAACTACTTTATTGATCAAATGGAAAATAAATAATGTGGAGAGTCAAGTTAGCATACATAGTTAAGCCTTTTGTGTGGTAATGTAACTAAAATAGGTAAATTATTTGCTTTGAATTCTAGCCTTATTTCATAAAATATAATGACTTAAATCACAAAGCATTAAATAAAAATGTTGAAGTAAGCTACCCAAAGAATTGCATAATTCACTTTATATAATTTCTTCTAGTATAATAATGTAAAATGCCCTTTAAGCTTAGCATAAACGCTGCATTTTGTACTTTTTTACTAAGATGACTAATCTAAAACCTCAATATATAGACCTGACAAAGGTAATATTTAATTTAGTTTGATCTCAAAAGAGTGATATAAAGCTTTATGCCCATCCATCTATCCATTTTTTCTCACGTTTCATCCCAGCTGGGGTCGCAAGGGGTGCTGGTGCCTAGCTCCAGTTGTCTGCGTGTGAGAGGCGGGGTACACCCTGGACAGGTTGCCAGTCTATTGCAGGGCAACACAGTCATCAGCCTAATGTCAAAATAATTCTTTAATTAACTTTGAACATAAACCTTTTTTAGTGTTTCTGTAACAAAGCTAGCTATCTTGAAAACCAAATCTGTGTTGATGTAAAACATGAGTTGGAAATGTGCACAAAAAATGTATTCCATTAGGATTAAATGATTGTGTATGACCTAGAATCTGGATTAGCTCATATAAAAAATTACCTAAGCTTAAACTGTGTTTTAGGGATTGTTTTAAGTGTTGTTAGCCAAAAAACTAACCCCTTCTTTTAGTTGAGCAGATGTTTTTGGTTCCAAGCATCAAATCAGAAGGTTGAGGCCAAAACGCTCTTTTCACAGTGAGAAAAGCTCATTTTGGCCTCTGTAGCTGTAACAGACAAACCATTAATGATACAACCATTATCTTTGCTGGCAATCATCTAGAGCTGAAAACTAACAATATAAAGTCGATTTGGAAATGTGCACAAAAAATGTATTCCATTAGGATTAAATTATTGTGTATGACCTTGAATCTGGATTAGCTCATATAAAAAAATTACCTAAGCTTAAACTGTGTTTTAGAGATTGTTTTAAGTGTTGTTAGCCAAAAAACTAGCCCCTCCTTTTAGTTTTCCGACTTACATTATCAATATTTTATCTAGTTTTAACAACCATTATTCCACTGTATAATAATTTCTATTATTAACTGTGAAATATATAGCCTAGTATTGCATAACTTTAAGTAGAATTCTTAGAAAAAACATATGAAAAAAAAATGGATTCCTATAAGAAAATGTTAATCATGTTTCTTTCACTGAGTAATTGCAACTGTAGACTGAATGTAAGTAGGACTTCCAGAATGTTACTAAGCCAAACTGTACATTTTCAACATGTGGTTAGCCAGTTTTGCACAGTGTAGTGTTTACTTGTTAGCTTTTTAAATGCAGTTTTATATTGTACAGCTGCATGTTTGCCAAAGTGTTGCTTACAGTCCTTGATGGACATGCCTGTCTCTGTGTATTTAATGTGCATTATTAAGAGTGCATTATCTGTCACAGTGTCCACTTTATTGTGCCTGTAGCGTGTGACTCACATCATCTACATTACTAAGTGGGATGTGATGTAAACGAATTGGTCAAATCAGAAGAGCAAGTCTCACAGATTGTGACACAGCTTTGAAAAAGTGCATATAATGACACTTGAGATTATGATTGTTGTCTTTTCATACATTAAATACAAAAATATGAAAAACACAAATATTCTTTTCTGATTCATGTTTCTTTTACTTGTTAGCTTTTCATTTCTTCTCTTTGACAGGTACCAGTTGACTTCTGTGAACATGTTAGAAATGTACTCCATTTTAATTGTAGTTAGTTTAATCCATAGATATAGTAGAACTGCCTGCTAGTAGCTATGTTGTCATGAAGACAGAGATACAAGACTGTTTTGTTTTTACCAGAATAACTAAGCACTGACAAAACTCTCTAAAGCCTTTAAAAGAGTGAATTAAGTACAAAGTCTTTATCCTTCAACAAGAGGAAAAAAAATATTCAAACCCACCTGCCCCTATGTATAAGAGATTCCTCCCTGAGCCTACACCCAGACGTGCCACCTTTGCAGGCTAAAACTCATTAAGCATTTATGAGGACTATTTCGGACTTGCCAGAGTTCATTATTCTGTACATTATCGAAATTAGCTTCAGCTTCAGCCCAGTTCACGAATTAAAGACTATGTAGCCCTTTAGGAGTTTCTGCTTAAGAGATGTATTGTAAAGCAGCAAAGCAACTACAAGTCATCACACTATCACCACCGTGTTTAGCACTATTATCTCCAACCCAAACACAGGAAAGCTCTATATATATATATATATGTATATGTATGTGTGTGTATATATATATATATATATATATATATATATATATATATATATATATATATATATATATATATATATATATATATATATGCATGGCATGTGTGTGTATATATATGTGTGTTTGTGTGTGTGTGTGTGTGTTAAACCAGCTAAAACCCTATCTCAGAAGTAAGTTATAAAATATTTTCTGCTTTTAAAGTTTAAAGAGCACCATCAGGCGTCATAAAATAAAACAGGACAGAGAATTTATCATTGCTTAAACTCAATAATGCATTATGATAATCAGTATGTTTTATGCTGACTCTGAAGCCCCACAATTTTAAACAGAAAGGATTAAAAAAATGTAAACATTACTGACGAAAGTGTTACTTCTAGAAATCGTCACTAGAGGGCAGACTAATACTTTAACCAGATTAGATTTATTCTTCCAACATGAATGGTCTCTTATTCATGAAGATAGTCTGAATGAATGTATGAAGCCTCTTTAATGTGTTTTATTTAATAAAACAGTCTCCACTGCATATGCACTGATGATTATTACGTACCTTAAAAGTTGCTGTGTTATGTAACAGAGTGTCTCTGAGGACACAATGGAAGCACAACTTCCAAGTTTAATTAGATCCATAATATTTCTGATTGAATGCATATTTGCATCCGCTTGGGCCTTCTATGCTTTTACCAAGATAAGACCCTTGATGTGTACCGCCCTCCCCTCCCTAATGCTGTGTCGATCACGGGGTTGAAGCAAGGACAGGTCCATCAGGATGCTGGGGTTATGTAACACCAGTCTGCATGAATGGATCAGCGAGGTGGATCAACTAAATGGTTTAGTATCCAATTGATTTACTTTCCCAAATTAGAAGAAAGAAATAAACTAAAACACATGAATAAAATACAAAGCTAAATATTATGTTAGTATGTCTAATACAGACAGTGGGTCCTTTATTGTAAAACAAAAATAAGCAAAAAAATAAAAAGTTATAAGATTAAGCACAGTCTGTGTAATAATGTGACTTACTCTAATTTATGAAACATAAATTAAGCTGAAAGCATAGCCTACTAATGTGTGTTCTATGAAACTAATTTTAGGGGCTCCCTGGAAGCAGTTTTCCCTTACAGGAAAAATCTGTAATGGATGTCCTGGACTGTCAAACTGTGTCTGTGTCTAAGCCTCTCCCACTCGCCCTCCACACAAACATGGAGTATACACACTCAAAGGATTGTGTCTATGGAGGGAGTTGGGATTGGTGGAGAGCAAAGCTGCTCACTGTTACATCATCTCCACCACAACAAGCAGAGAGCAAGTCTGACGTCTGGCTTTCATGACAGCAGGGTTTGGGAATAATTTAGCTGTCTGCTTCTAAAAATATGGCTGCACTAAAATTGCAATAAAATGTGTTCAGTCACTTAGGTTTATGCACGGTAATAATTATCATTTCAAAATTAACCAAAATCATGGTTGATATTACAAACTTTTACCTAATGAGTGATATCGTTCTCTTCTTATTGACTTCTTTTTGAGTTTTCAGTTATTTAAGTTATTCTGTGCTGTTGATCATTGGTTTCT